ATTTAGCGAGGATAAAAATTCATATGAATGAAAATAATACCTAATTATGTTTTCTATATATTTTTTTTTCGCGACAGTCATTCAGTTACCTAGCGTCAACATGTTTCGCATATGATTTGGAATGATCGGAAATTTTCGAAGGGAACTTTCGATTATATATCATTCGAATGATCATTCGATTATAAAATTAATTCGAATGGTAACCTCTCGATTATTTAATTCTTTCGATTAGTCCCATCACTACTTAAGAATGACATAGATAAAGATAGTGATCTTAGCACTCGAAGTGAATTTTCGAAAACGCCCAATCTGTAGTGTGGTTGGTTTCGCTACAGAACAGAAATGATATAATTTTTATTCTATGGTTTGGCGGTAAATCTTTTGACTTTGCTTGCAACTTTTAGGTTATTATTGGTTATTGTGATTCTACTATTTTACTAATTGTTTCGTCTATTAAAAATGTGAAGTTTTTTCTTTTTAATTTGTCTTACTAGTTTATATGATTTTAAGTAAAAATGTTTTAAGTGTTCAAAGAAAACTTTTTAGTATTTATGGTAATTTGAAAAATTGAAAATATTTTTCTTTTTTAAAAAAAATATTGCAGCACCAATCACCAATTAAAAATTAAACATGTCATCTGAAACTGAGACTGATAGTCTCGGAATAGAAAGTACCATGCAAAATAATGACCTAGTGGAGATAGATAATGTAAATGAACAATCTAAAAATGACACTATTCTATGTAACGAAGAGAACAATTTTGTCCTTGATAATGATAATTTTTATAAAGTTAAACGAAAAACGTGTAAAATAATAGATGGTAGCGATTCCGAACATGAGCTTAATTCCACAACGGAGAATGGCAAAAATAATCAAGAAAATCTTGAGAACAGACACAGGACATTAGCAGCAATCGTTGACAGTGACTCGGAGGAAGAAATGGGTCCAGTAATTGCTCATAATAAAAGCTTTTCTGATGATGCCCTAGATACCATTGAACAACCCGTGTTTATTACCAATGCAGAGGGAAAGTTGATTCCAGAAAAAGTTGATATTAACAAAAATATGTCGCAGGTAAATTTTCTCTTATTGAAATATAAAATAATACTGTACCTATATATTTTATAAATCATTTCATATATTTATGTTAAAAAAATTGTGTTATATTGAGTGCTACACTTGCTGAAAGTGTAAATGCAATATAGTTTTAAAATTACATTACAATTTTATATTTTAATTTTGATGTTTTTTTTTTATTTGGCATACGTGGTCCTACAAAAATATGTGAAACTCTTCAAACATTTTAGATATTATAAACACAATAGATTTCTGATAGAGGTAAATGATGGATTTAAAATTACATTTTTGTGATAAATTAATATATTTAAAAAGTGATTACTTATTCTTGAAGGCGATGAGATTGTCAGCATTATGTGACTCGGATAGTTCTGAAGACGAAGCAAGTGTAGAGAATAAATTAGATGAAAATAATTGTTTAGGAGAAACAAATGTCATATCTAAGCAGTATAAGAAGAAACAGAAACCAAAAGAAAATGTAGCTAGAAAACCTAAAAAAGTGAGTTGTCTAATCTTTTATATTTTATATTACATTTATATATTAATATATCTTCAAAAATGAAGGTATTGTAGGAGATAGAACTGTTCAAAGAATATGTAATTTTAAGAACCTCGAGATACGAAAAAGGTTAAAGAATAAAAGACAATTGAATGTATGTATATAGGCCCAACTTATGGTTTTTCTTTTAGTGGAACACCATTGGAAAGACCATCAAAAGAACGTTTCAAAAATATTTTATATATGATACTATCTTTAAAAATTTTTCGAGGTAACTGTTGCCTATTTTCATATATTTTTACGTAGTAAGTAGCTCTGGAACAATATTGACAATTAGAAAGTGATGTTAATCTATCTACTAATAATTAACTTTATAAAATGTTTGCAGAAGCAGAAAGATAATGATATAGTGACAATTTACTTAAAATATATAAAATATCAGCCAGAAATAATTCCAGTACTTAGGTATTATTTAATTTGCATTAAATAAATAGAAAGATTAAAAGTATTTATTAATACATGGGCATGTACCAGAATTTACTTATTTTGATTCGAAGAACGTAGAATTTTGTAAAGACCTTTTGCAGTCTAGATGAGTCAAAAATTTCTTTTAAATCCCTAAACTTTTATTCTTACATTTTTTTCATATCTCGAAGAACAATGAAGAAAGGGGACAATTTTCACGATCCACTCTGTACCTACATATATTTTTAATCCTTAATTTTTATTTTTTTAAATTTGTTTTTTTATTTTATACAAATTGCTATGTATTTTAGATGACTGGTAAAGAAGCTGCGCAACTTAGGAAGGAAATTAAATCTGAGTCTCAGAGAATGCTTAGAGAAAAGAAAATTTCCTTACCTTATCACAAGCCAAAATCTTATACCATAAAAGAGTTCCTTTCTAAGCGGTCCAAATTTTCCTCTGCGGTACCAATAAATGTAAAAGCACCCCCTTCAGTAGCGATCAAGATGTCTGCAGAGCAATTGACTCTTGTTTCGTAAGTCTAATTCAAATATAATTTTGTATAAAAAGTTGTCTAGAATTTTCTTTCAATATTTTCCTTAGTGTACTTTGATACCTTTTTTATATAAAGTTAATTTTGTGAAAATCGATGAGGGAAATATTTGCCTGTAAAAGGCAAAATGTCATAAATGTATAGTCATTAGGTATACATTCGATTCAATTATCAGATATTTTATTGAAAGTTCTGCTAGAGGATCTGTTTTATGGAAACTGTACCTAATACTCATATGTAATTCTGAATTTCTTGAAAATAGTTTGATTAAACAAAATTCACCAATAAATGAATCAATAAATTTCAAAAAATTCTTGGAATGGGGTAAAAATAAAAAGTTGGGCGATAATAATGTTTATATAAAAAGATATCATTGTTTTATATACTATATTCAGAAAATATAGGACGACAATGGGGTTGTCCACTATAAATACAAACCATATACAAATTTGCGTTACTTAAAAACTAGTCTGACGTCATAAGGGGCAATTGAACATGAAGCTAGTAGCGATCCTATTGCATAATTTTGAAGAAGAAAATATGTCAAAATTGTCCATCAAACCTTGCTGCCCTGTTTCCTGTTTTTTTAACAAAAGTGACACTAGTGACAGCAGTCTATCAATTAAGAGTATTTGTGATAATTATTCATTTCCTGATTGTAATGGATTCAACAAAAATTATGTGGTGTTTTGTTCCACATTCCACATAGTCAATTGCATTATCTCCATAAGACTCCCGAACTGCACTATAAATTTCCAATAAATAAATATGTATTTTATATAAACACAATAAAATCATTCTTTAAATATGTTGATCCTTACCTGACTGCTTTTATACCTCTGATTTCTCCAATATTAAAATGCTCGTCTCTTTTTAAAAATTCAATTTATGATCATAAAAATATCAATTTTCGGTAAAATTTGCGAAGTAGCTTTCACAAATCCCGATTCACACATTCTGCTATAATTATTAGGGAAGCTATTAAATGATTATTACTAAATAATAATTTTACTTAATAAATAAATTTGAAGATTAAGGAAAATAACTCGTAGACTTAAAAATATTTTATACGACAGTGTCACCGACAGACTGACACTACTGACAGTACTGACAGTGCGTCTTCTTCCAATTTCTTTCCTTTACACAATCATTTACACATAATTTCACTACAAGGTGCCCATTATGACATCACAGCCGTTTTGAAATGTTATAAAAAAATCAGTTGTAAATAACTATTTTAAAACTATTCTGACACATTTTCCAATCTCTAATTGTGTATATACACTAGTTAGTACGTGTAGAATTATATTATCTACTTTTTGAAATTTGGTCAACAACCCTATTGATGGCCATGCTGTACTGGACACACTGGGCTTATTAATATGTTTAAAACAGCATAAACTAAATATTTTAATATTTATCTAAAATTTATTAATGTTTTAAGAGGAGTACCTGAATAGTATATACATTTTATTATGTATTTTTAGAGAGAAGTTAAAAGAACGTGAAAAGGAAGTGGAACGGTTTTACAAATCAGAAAGCGAATCAGAGGATGACTGTGAGCACAAAGATTATGTTCCTCCATCAGAGGTTGAATCAAGTAATCAAGAAGATAATAAAGAAGTCAATGAGGTAACAGAACACTCAGCAGCACTTCCTGTTGAAAATAAAGATGAAGAACCCCAGTTACAATTAGCTGTATCAGAAAATACGTCAAATGCTGTTGAAAATGCTACAGTTGTTTCAAATGTGTTTGAAAATAGGGTTACTGAGGAAGGACAAATGGATGTATCTGCAAATAATGCAAATTTTAAAGACTGTGATATATTAGACAATATGACAATTGACAATTCAAGTGATGTGGTAGATCAGAATAATACAGATTTGACAGTCATTGACAATCCGAATAAAGAAGTTTCAATTCATAAAGATCTCGGGTCTGGTGATAAGCCCGTGGAGGATTTAGAAATAAATAATGCACCGTCTGAAACGTTGAGAACAGATGAAGGAAAAGAACAATGTTCCATGGACTATGAGTTTAGTTTGGATGGCCTAGACCAAAACTCTGAAACTATCCATGAAACAGAAAATCCTGCAGAGAAGAGGAGCACATTCGAGTATACCGATTTAGTTAGAGAAATTGAAAATTTTGGTTCTGACGATAATCAACTTTCTACCGCTCCTATAGAGCAGCCTAAAAATTTGTCAAAATTGGAGTTAATTAAGGAGAGCTTAGTAAATATTAACCCAAAGTTAACTGGTAGTCCTAATGATGTAATTGACCTAGAAACCGGAGTTGCAAAGCCAAATGAAGTAACAAAACTGATGAAAAGATTTGTAGAGCATAATTTTAAAAAAGCAGTGCCTAAAAATAATGTTGAGCTAAGGTAAATATATTTTTAAAAACAAATTAAGGCAGTATATGTTGACTTGAAATTATGTGGAATCTATAATCCTAAGAAAGCATTCCAACATGGAAGAAAAAACAAAATTTGCATCTGTATCTCCAGGGGGAGATGTTCAATTGTCTTTTTTTTTAAAAGGAATGAAATCATGAAAAATTAGTGAATGAATTAAATTTTAATTTTCCGCAATATTCATTTGCGTTGACATTTCAAAATTGCTGGGGCCGATATATACTAGGTGTTTCCATTTTCATAAGCAGGACTTCAGTAGTATACAGGGTGTTTGGTAAGTCGGTGCATCCCTTGCAGGAAGTTATAGTGCAAATGATTTGTGATATATTTCCTTAATATACCAAATTCCGAAATTCTTAGTTTCTGATCTACAGGGTGATAAAGTTTCAATAAAAAAATGCAAATTTATAAATATTGCGGAAACCGCTCAGAATATTTTAATGACATTTTATAAGCTTTGACAGTTAACAACAATATATGTTTTACGATAAAAATATTGTTTCTAGTTTTACCAGTGGCGTGCGTCTTTCGATATTTTTAAAGAAAAAAATTATGCCACTGATTTTTCTTAAAATAAAAATTATTTTTGAATTCCTTGTTCAATTTGGAAGAGAAAAGGTATCTCGACTGTTTTTCTTATGACGCACCGTTTTCAATTAAAAAAATTTAAATCGATTTATTGCATGGTGTAATCCGGTTTCAACAATTTGAAAAATAGCAGAAATTATGCACTCGGCTTTTTTTTGTACCAATTTTATAACAAAAAATTATTCCTTGCAGTTAACATTATCAATGTAAAAAATTTTTATCAGTTTTTAGATTCACTATTTACTATCTAAACAGAAATTAGCATGTTGGCTGTGCGCTCGTTTTTGTTATTGTTTGACAAAATTAATAATAGCTCACTTTGAGTGTTTGAGTGTGAAGCAATTAAGTGCATAATTTCTGCTATTTTTCAAATTATGAAACCGAATTAAGCCATGCCATAAATCGATTTTATTTGTTTTACACGAAAACAGTGCGTCATAAAAAACAGTCGAGATACCTTTTCTCTTCCAAATTGAACAAGGAATTCAAAAATAATTTTTGTTTTAAGAAAAATCAGTGGTGTATCATTTTTTTCTTTAACAATATTTAGAGACGTGCCTGTGTGCACGTCATTGGTGAAACTGAAAACAATATTTTTATCGTAAAACATGTATTGTTGTTAACTGTCAAAGCCTGTAAAATTTCATTAAAATATTTTGAGAGGTTTCCGCAATATTTATAGATCTGCATTTTTTTTATTAAAACTTAACACCCTGTAGATCGGAAACTAAACGTTTTCGGAATATAGTATATTAAGGAAATATACCACAAATCACTTATAATATAGCCTCCTGAAAGGGATGCATAACCTTACCAAACACCCTGTACAGAGGTTATTTTAAGCAAAATAGTTTCAATTAATATATTCCTCAAACTTATTCTTTTTAAAAAAATGTTTTTCTGTTTTCTCGTGAATGGAAAGAAAGCATATTTTTTGTGTAGAAAAAATATTTGTTGAATTGCCTTCTGCAAACGTGCCAATTTACACAATTTCATGGATTCACCAGTGGAGTACTTACTGGGTGCATTTTAGTATTTTCTTAAAAAATAATGACACCAAAGACTAATGGCAATATACTACCATTTTTAGGATCCTTCAGTATTTTAAGAATAAAAACTATTCTTTAATTTTTTCCTAGGTTGCACAGTTTTCCAATTAATTGATAACATCAATGCACACTGCAATAAAATTTCTAGAATATTACGCGGCTTTGATTTTTACTTACATTGTCAATCAATTGACAGAAGTCAACAGTTTTTCCGTTGTTTAATTCAATAATTTTAAAAACTGGCAGTTTTTGTAACTTATTTAGTAACTTAATTTAGTAAAATAAAATTAAATAATAGATTTTCTTCTTAAAATATCTGATGATTCTAAAAATGGTGGTACATTGCAATTAAGACGTTGTAATTATTTTTATTTTATTTAGAAAATAGTAAAATGCATCTGGTAAGTACACCAATGGTGAATCAATCAACATGAAAATTGGCATGTTTGTAGAAAGTTATAAATATTTCCTCCACATAATAAAATATTATTTCTTTCTATTCACAAGATATTCTACTTTTTTTTAGAAATTTCAACACCCTCTATCTCGAAAAGGAAGATATATTTTGCATAAAATAACCTCCTCTATATGCTATTGTACCGTATATAACTCTTTAATCAGCAAAAAATTCTATTCATCTTTCTAATTTCTGTATTTTAAGATTTTTTCAAGAAAACTAAACTTTCGTTTCAGTATTATCAGTTTTGAAAGTGGCGAAATTCATAAAGAAACCGTAGCAATGAAGCTAGAAGATGAGAGTGACTTAACTGCTGTAGAAGAAAAACCTGGGGCCAAACTGCAAAAGCTTCGAATTGAACTTCAGGATCAAATGGCTCAGAAAAGGTCAGAATGGTGGAAGAAGAAAACAACAGAACAGTCTAACAATGAGAAAACAAATACGGATGAGGGAGAAAATGAGGATTGTGGACCAGATGACGATGATATCCTTGATGATGAGGAGGAAGAGATGGACATTACAGAATCTAGTGAGGAAGAAGAAGAAGAAGTTGAAGAAAATGATCATGTAGATCGCGAGGAAAAGAAAAAGTCGATCTTTATTGATGAAGAAGCAGAAGAGAGTGATGAAGATGGTGAGATTATTGAAGCAACAAGTGAGGATGAAGTAGCTAATCAAGCAGATGATGAAAATGAGATTGATGATGCTTCGGATTGCAACGAAAATGAGGAAGAATCTGAAGCAAGTAATGAAAAACGGTGTGCAAATAAAACATACAAAAAAATATTAAAGGGTTTTTCCGAAGATTCTGATGAAGAGGAGCTGGTGTCAAAATCTGAAGATTTAAAAAAAAATGAAGGTGCAAATAGTGTTACTACTCGTAAGTAGAAAATTAACTTCATGCAACATTTTCTCCCATAGATAATTGATTTTTAGAGGAAGACGATGATATTTTTCCGCCCCATCAACCACAAACTAGTCAGACACCAATCAGGCAAATAACTCAAAAGAAGTCCGATTTTGAATTTTTAACTCCATTATCTTACATAACAGGACTGCAGAATTTTAATTCTGCTTCAAAAGTATTTTTTTATTAATATACATATTCTCACATAAATATGTAATATTATTTTTTCAGAATTTGAAAGATTCCCCAGTTACATCGGTATTTCAAAATATAAATGAACCATCTCCTTTGAAAGAGAAAAACTGGCAGCAAAGTTTACAGAAAAAGTTGTTCATCGATACAGAAATGACAGATTCCCAGGTAAGTCCTTAAAAAATGTGACGATAATGTTGTATTATTAATTGTTTAATTGCTGTAATTTTTTAGGCTGAGGGGCTCTATTGTGAACAGTTTCCTGAAATGCAAGAAGCTGAAGAATCTATTTTAACACATAAAGAACAGCCGGTTGATTCACGTGTTGAGGAATTTCCAAGTACTTTAAATGCCAAAGAGAATGAGGAGCGCTTAGTTGATTTATGCAGTGGTAAATTTCCTTCAACTGCGGAGTTAGTAGAAAACAGATTGGGTGATCAGACACCTTCAACTCAGGATTTATTAAATATTTGTTCTGGTGAATTTACAGGAATAACTCAGAACGGATCTTCAGAAAAACAAGATAATGTTACTGAAACTCCTGCAGATATGTATTCATTTAACACAAATAAAGAAGTAAAAAGTTTGGATGAAGATCAGGATTTGATAATTTCTCAATTAATAGACGAAGAGGAAATGGAAAAATTCAAAAAGAAATTTGAGTCACCATTAATCTCTAACACTCAGAGGCGAATTGTTGAGGAATTCGAAGAAGCACTAACTGGTGGTGGTGTGATTGACTCGGACGATGATACTGACACAGTTGGAGTAAAGAAGAAAAATAAGAAGAGAATAATGTTTTCAGGTAATTTTGTTCATACACAGGATGTTTTATCAAACTTTGAGAACAAATAGATTATCAAAAAATAATTATAGTTTGTTATACAGGGTGTCCCGAAATTCATGCAACAAAATTAGGTCACAGATTCTTAAGACAAATTTAGGGGACCCATATTTTTTATTTTTGCCAAGTGGCCCCCTCTTTCGCACTTACAGCCCAGTGAAGTCCGCCCCTAAGAATAATCTTTTTTTTTATATCAGAATCCTGTTGTACGAGAATCACTAAATTTGGTACACAGGGGTTTGATGACATGTGGAATCTGATGGTGCTACGTTTTTGGCGGGGGAACCCCCTTAAGACAATTTTTCGTGTACCCCCTTGTCTTTGGGAGTCAAAAATATTTGGTCTCGTATTTAAATTTCTTAAAAATTATCAGTCCAGTAGAAAGCCATTAAAGAACCCTGCACTTTTTTTATGGGAAGTGGGTTTTGGCCAATTTTTTTGAAACTTCGCAGGTTGATAGTTCTTAACATGTAGATCAAAAGTCTCAATGGGCACAAAGCCCCAAATCCACCCCTTCCCCCCAAAAAACTGCCTCCAAGTAGCGGGGGCGATTTAACTGATTTCTGCATGTAAAACAATTTATTTTTTTAATCAACGACCCCAAACAACCACATTTTTGATTATCAAACTGCCCCACTTGACAACGCCCCTCACACACCCCCCGTACCCTACAAATCAGCCTACGGATTTTCCAGATTACTGTATTTTATAGTTGTACGTATTTTTTGCACATATATTTTTTGCTTGTATTTTTTCACACTGAATTCGAATCTGCAACTCAATTTTACGAAATCGGGTCAGGAAAATTGTTATTAACAATTTAATTGTTTATATAGCTGTAGAAAGTTTATTTGTGAATTTATGAAAAAATATTTCAAGTAAAAGTTATTTATTTTGACTAAATCTAAAAAAAAGTTTTTGTGATTTTTTCGAAAAAGTGATATTCAAGCTGTAAAACGCTGTTAAACTTACACGTGTATATACAGCTATCATACGTATACTCTGTGTTAAACTTTGGTGGCGTTTTAAAGCTAAAACATTGATTTTTCGAAGAAACCACGAATAGTTTTTTTTAGATTTCATTGAAATAAACAACTTTTATTTGAAACTTTTTTTCATAAAACGACAAGTAAACTCCTCGCTACTTGGAGGCAGTTTTTGGGGGGGAAGGGGTGGATTTGGGGCTTTGTGCCCATTGAGACTTTTGATCTACTTGTTAAGAACTAACAACCTACAAAGTTTTAAAAAAATTGGCTGAAATCCACTTCCCATAAGAAACTTTTTTTGTCTCTTTATACTTTTTTCGTAAAACGCAATATTTTCGAGAAAAATGTCAAAATGTGATCAAATGCATATCGTGATTCACCATTTTCCTCAAAAACATTGCGTTTTATGAAAAAATTATCGAGACAAAAAAGTTTATAAATTCAATGGCTTTCTAGCTAACTGATACATAATTAAAAAAAAAAAAATCAAATTTGCGACCAAATTTTTCTGGTTCCAAAGACAAGGGGGCCCACGAAAAAGTGTCTTAAGGGGGTTTCTCGCCAAAAAGCGTAGCACTGTGAGATTCGACATATCATAAAACCCCTGTGTACCAAATTTAGTGATTCTCGTCCAACATGGTTTTGAGATATAAACTCTGTAACTTCGAAAGAGGGGGCCAGTTGGCAAAAAGAAAAAATACGGGTCCCCTAAATTTGTCTTATGAATTTCGGGGCACCCTGTATGTACAGACGGGATGTAACTTTGAATGGAAGTTATATTTATATGAGGGCATTGATCTTTAGAAACCCATAATTTTGTTTCTTCCATTCCATTGAAAAAAACATTTTAATTTTATATCCCTCTTCTGAACAGGCTAGTGTTACCCCAAACAACCATATGCACCAGTTACAATGTGTGCATGCATAGTTTTGTCAAATCTCATCTTTCTTGATTTGTATATGTACATATTTTTTCATAAATATCACACAGAAATTTAACAATGAAGATACATAAACACATCATACAGAAAAACGAATACATCAGAGCTGAAATTGGCGGGTTTACATACCGTAGGTATTACAAACACCTTGTAAACGAATAAATTGCATATTAAAATAAGTGTAATAAAATTAAATAATAACATATTCACCCATTCTCGTTTTGCCGAATTAACTTTGTTTTATGTTGCTTAGTATTTTCATTGTCATATCACATCAGAGGTACCTATTGATATTACGCAAGTCAACTAAAACAGGTCATTAACATTGAGATTCATAAACTAAACACATTACTTTATAAAAAAATAGCAAATAATTTTTTTCGAAAACTTTAGTTTCGAACTATTCGACAATAGTTTAAGGGCAATTTAAAAATCGAAATATAACTTGATTATTGATAAAATTAAATGAAAAATCAGATTGGTATTCAGGGGAACATTTGAAGAACATTTTTCAGATATGGCGTGTTAAAGTTTTTTTAAGAAAAAGTTTTTCTCAAGTATTTCATAGAATGTTTTTGACCTCAAAAACCCAGTTTTAAAATTTTTCAGTTTTACTCTGCTCCAAGAAATTAATGTGTAACTAAACAATTTTAATAACTTAATATTAATCTGTAAATAACAAAACGTTACGTGTTTAACAATTAATTTAAGAATTTAAAACTTCTAAAGTTAGAAATTTGTTGTATGAAAACAAGCAACATTTTTAATTAAGTTAATATCAAGTATTTCTGCCTTTGTTTTGGAGTAAATCTTTGCATCAACAGTTTATGTTCAAAATAAACATTTGATTATGGTTTTGAATCAGTCTTGATTAGGATGATCTCTTAATTGATTTCCAAACATATTTGAGGCATGTTTAATGGGATGGAGACCTGGAGTTGTCCTGCCAGACCATCTTCTTCTTTTCTAGTGGTTGGTCTTAATAAGTTCCATGACACCATAGCCTAATTAGGCCTATTGTGTGTCCCACTACTAGTCCTGTTCAGCAAGTAGTTTTGTCCTTTTGACAAAGTCCAAAAGCTTCCTTGCTGACACTTCTCTCAGTTCCTTGGGTTCCAAATAGGGTCTCCCCAGGAGCGTCATTCTACTAAGTGCAAATCCTGGGCACTCGCCGAGTCACGTCCTCGGCAGATCGGACTGTCTACAAGCTTTAGCTTATGTAGATGTTTCCTAAAGTGACAGTGTCCCATTATGAGTCCCGCCACTCTCCTGAGTTTATTCAAGCTCAGTAAATCGTTTGCTCTTTCCTTCAAGGGATACTCCATGAGCTCCTTAGAATGGCTATGTCCTGGTCTTGAAGTCCAGTATTTCCTATGTTCTGTCTCGATCCTTTTGCTCAGAGCCTGCCTGATCACACTGGGAGATGTGCCACAGAAGGGCTCCGGGCCAATGAACTCTGTCTCGGATCCCTTCCAAGCAAGTTCATCCGCTTTCTCGTTCCTACAAATGCCTTTGTGCCATGGCACCCTGCCAGACCATCACATTAATTCCAACTTCCACATTTTAGATCTGGTATTTTAATTCCTTGAAACAGTGCATTAGTGCTTTAGAAAAAGTGTGGGTGTCTTAATTAAAAAAAAACTCTTAGGCCATTGGCAAAAATTAAAAATGATAATAGAGTGCTCTTCAAATTTTAACCTAAAATTAACAACAATAGAATGTATTTACAAAAAGCATTTTATGAATAGAAATTATATATTTTCCCACTAGCAAATAATATTGAAACATAATTTGAAAAATATATGTAAAATATTGCCTAGGATAAACGATACATCCGGTGTAATAGAAAATAACTTTAAAATGTTTGGAAATTTTTTTCGTACCTTTTGTTTGAGACATTTTTTAATTTTATTATTAACACAGTTACAGAGCAATATGTTTTAAGTAAAACAACCGTGAAATTTCTATCTTAATAAAAATGTTTTATTTAGAAATAAGCGATTTATAAAAGCTGTTTTACATTTACAATTTATTGATGAATTAATTCATGAAGTCGCTTCATCAAGAAATTGGAGAAATGTAAAGCAATAAATCTGCTATCAAATAACTTCATGAATTTATTCACCATGTTCTTGACGAATTAGAACATGGTTCTAATTTTCGTTTATTTCTTCTTGAAGTTCAGAAGTACCAACCCAACAGATTTCCAGCCTCAGATCAGTAATGAGGTTATGTTATTGGAATATGTAAATAATTGTGCGGCGTCGTACTAGTTTTACAATGTTTTTACTGATTTGTTACAAAAACTAATATTTATATAATATGGGTCAAAACGGTACCACTGTTGTATCACTACAATTATGAGTGGAAAGGTGACATTTTTGAAATTTATTTGCTTCTTTGATTTGTTGGTAGAACTGATTCATGCGTCAAAAAACTTGACAGTCTGTAGCAGTGTAAAACCACACTGTTTATCAATAAATTCGTGAATTAATTCATGAAGAACTTCATCAATTTGTTCATGAATAAATTGTCAATGTAAAACAGCTATAAGAAAAATTCATGACCACATTTTTTTTATTGTAAAATGAACAGTTTTGTATTTTGTCAATGGCATATTTTTTATAAAGACACTCTTTTATAAAACCCTGATAAAATTGAAACATTTAAAACAATTGTTGCCAAAAATATTCTGTAAAATTTGAATGTTTTTTTTTCGAAAATAGCTTTTTAACACCTTATATCTTGAAACAGTAATTTTTTTTTGAATATATATGTATAAAATACTATTATTTTGATTATCTAGCCGTTTCTAAAAATTTTACAAAAAAATAGTCAATCTTTATGTATGAAATGATTATTTCATACTTTTGCAGATGATGAAGATTCTGAAGATGAGAACGATGAAGAAGTCATAGATTTACAAGACGAAATTGATGATGATGAAGACAGTAATATAGCACCAGATAATGTAGCTTATGACTCTGAAGAAAATGAAATAGGAGTTCTGGATGATGATTGTAAGTTTGAAACAATGTGGAATTATATATTTCTACCAACATTTTTTCAGACGGCACAAACATGAAAAAATTGAAACCTTCAGATTTCTTTGAAAACGAGGCCGAATTGTCAGAATCGGAATGGGATAGTGCAGACGAAGATGAAAAAGATTTAGATACGATGGAGTTTGAACAAGGTGACGATGAAAAATTTGATGAAAAACAAATTAGAACTGACTTGGAAAAGATTCACATGCGAAGAATGTTGGATGATGACACACGAGAGGTCAAATTATTACAAGAAATGTTATTGGAGGATGGTGAATTACATGGTACCGGCAGAGAAAGACAGTTTAAATGGAAGAATATTGATTCCGTTATTGAATCGAATGAAACAAGAAAGGAAGAGGATGATGTATATCTAGAGGAAGAAGAAAGTGAGGAACAGTGGAGGAAAAGGAGGCATGAAAGAGAAATGTTTCTAAAGAAGAAGCTGATCAACTCGCAGGATTTGGATGACGATAATCTCTTAAGTGACAGCCAGTTGCTGAAAATTGGACAGAAAGTCTTACAGAGGAGTCAGTCGAATTCACAAAATAGTACACCCATTGATAAAAACAACATTGTATCAGAGAGTCCCGTTTTAAAGCAGTCATTTACTTTATTGGTAAGTTATTTTTTTTGCAGTCAGTATATGATGGGACACTAAGGCTGTGTTCAGCGAATGGTCGGACCAGTCAAAGTTGTTCAGCGCTCAAATATTTTGGGGATCAGCCCAATCAGCTGAATATTGGGCAGGTTTTAATACAGTTAATACAAATCCATTCAGCGAATTGTTTGACTAAAGAAGTTTGACCGGACTAGTCCGACCATTCACTGACCACAGCCTAACAGGTCTTTCAAATGGACTGTATATTAAAAAAAATTGAATATCAAAAAAACTCACCAAAATCTATTCAATTGATTTTATTTTGTGTCGAGAGTAGGAGAGAAAGTAGAAAAGAAAATGTGTTCGACAAAATTCGCTATTTGCGCTTCACTTGCAGAGTCTATTAAACAAAATAGTTAATTTTGAAACATGTATAGTGAAACAGCTAATAAAAATTTAATATGAGTATTTCTGAAAATTCTACCAAATTTTTAAACAAAATTGAATTAAATTTACCATCCTGAATTCTCGAAAAGGGCATGGGCCTAGCTACAACATTTGCTTGGGCTGGGCTCAGGCCTGCAAGCTGTATGGTGGCTTCTAAAAAAAACAAAAGGTCTCTGCAATTAGCGACTTACCAATATCACAGGAGGAGGGCCCCTAAGGCCGGTTTTTGGCCTAATTTATTTTTGGTTGAAAAATCTAAAAAAATTTTTTTTAGTACCTACTAGCAATACTGAATCGTTTCCACCCTAAACGGACCAACCCCCTCACCCTCCTTTCCCCCTCCACCCCCTTAAATGGTGGGGAAACCATAGCTTATTACAGGAATCTTTAAAGAGTTTAGAGATGCGAAAGACATTCAATTCCTATGAATCTTACATGTGAAGAGTTTTTTGGGTCGCTGATCACGAATCTGGTCTCAGAATAACGAAATTCAAAATGGCGGATCCTATATGGCGGACAAGAAAATTGAAATGTCTTCAAAATGCATGAATTTTTTTGTAATGAGGTTTTTGGGTCTATGATTACGAATCTGGACTCTAAATCACGAAATTCAAAATGGCGGATTCAATATGGCCGACGAAAAAATTAAAATGTCTTTAAACTGCATGAATTTTTGTGTAGTAGTAAAGTAAAAAATAAAAAGATAACAATTATATCAACGTGTATGTGTATATTGACTGCAGAATCGTAATTAGCGATCCAAAACACCCCTCAACAATATTTGTGCATTTTGAAGACATTTCAATTTTTATACTGGCCAAATGGGATACCGAAAGACACAAAAACCCCCAATACAAAAATTCGTGCATTGTGAGATATTTTAATTTTTTTGTCCGCCATATTGGATCCGCCATCTTGAATTTCGAGATTCTGAGACCAGATTCGTGATCAGCGGCCCAAAAAACTCTTCATATGTAAGATTCATAGGAATTGAATGTCTTTTGCATCTCTAAACTCTTTAAAGATTCCTGTAATAAGCAATGGTTTCCCCACCATTTAAGGGGGTGAAGGGGGAAAGGAGGGTGAGGGTGTTGGTCTGTTTATGGTGGAAATAATTCAGTATTGCTAGTAGGTACTAAAAAAAATTTTTTCAGCCAAAAATAAATTAGGCCAAAAACCGGCCGTAGGGGCCCTACTCCTTTGAACACGTTTTAATTTGATCCTAAAAAAAACCGCGCATTACCGATATGACAAAGATAAGTTGATAATATTAGATGTTTTTCTGGGGTGAGTACTGGGCCTTCTGGGGGTGTGCCGTGCACATCCCTGCTCCCCCCTAGCTACGCCCATGGAAAAGGGTTAGACACATGCAAATAATTATCTTTTTATAATCAACAGATACAAACGGATTTTCTTATTTTTCTCAAAATCTTCATTTTATATAAGTTGCGACACGAAGTTAAAAGAATGGAATATTACTATCAAATAAAAATTTCAATATAAAGGGTACATTTTTTAATCTGAAACTTTCAAATATTTCGATAAATCAATCCAGATAGGAAATACATTGTTAAATTTAGTCCCCCTCTAGTCCTTCTTTTGTATGGTTACCGAAAATTTAATTTTTACAATAGATATTATTAGGAAAAATTTGTATTTTTTAATTTTGATGCAATTTCCATCAGCCCGTTTTGGCAATATATTAACAAATTGATTTATTTCCAATCACATACATAATTAAGTTATTTTTGACAGTTTTTTTTTACTATTAACGAACTATTATTTTCCACCTTGGTAAAAAATTGTCACTTTCAACCCAGGTGGAAAGGAAAATAAATTGGTCATATTTTAATATTTTGTTGTTTTTATCTAAATTTGTAATCCCTGTGCTTCTTTCGAAGAAACTGGTCTGTAACGAACATTACCTGAACTTGTTCCGGATAAAAATAGGAAATAATTATTTATCGTATCACAGTGACGAAGGTCTTATTAGTTTGACACTTGTTCATTTGGACTAATATTAATAAGTAAAATTTATTTTTATTCATATGCATTTTTTGTTGACAATAAAGTAGTATACAAAAGTTGGTGAATATACTCATTTCCTGTTTCGAGATTAAGTTTACCTCAACATTAACTCAATTAACTTCTTAATCTCTCGACATAACGAGCCACTTTCCATCTTGGTTTTTAATATACTATTCTTTTAAAGTAATTTTCTTTACTTGGCACTTTATTTCTATGAAAAAAATTCTTCTTTTAGAGCAAAAGGGGTTCATTTTTGAGTCGAAATGACCAAGTGCTGCAGAGGCTAGCTGAATATAATAAAGTGACATCTGTGACTTTGGGGACAGCCACAGCAAAAAATTCTAGGAATTTTCTTTTTCAAACTGTCACCGTGGAAGAAACTTCAGTTGTTAGTAAAGTGAGTGAATTAATCAAAGGAAGCTAATACCTTCAGCTTACAATTTTTTTTTAGGATAAAAAAAGAAAGGCTACAGATGGAACACCCAGTGTGATTAAAAAATTGCGTTTAACTAGCAATTTAAGTCCAGCTGTCAAGAGAAAGCCTAGTACCAAAACTAAGCTGTTCGGCAATTGGTAGAGTAGATTATTTATTTTGACTGTGTTAGTTTTAAAAATTTTTAATATAGATTGATATTGTTTTAGTTTAAATTCTTTTTTTAATATATCCCAGTACCATTATACCTAAATATTCTGTACCATTTCTCATCCTGTTCAATCTCAAGAAATTTGTTATCAGATTGTTTCTTGATCTAATACTATACGTAGTTCTAGTCTGAAATGTGCTCAGATTTTGTTTTATGTACATGAGACATTGAAGTATACAGGGTGGTTCATAACTTATCCAAAAAAATTTGGGAATAGATGCGGCATGAGAAATGGAGTCAATATCTTAAAAAAAAATTTGTGTAAAATCCTTATAGTTTTCGAGAAAAAAATTATTGAAGTTGTACATTCAACCATTACATAGCTGGACAACAGTAATCTCTAGCGCCATTTGCAATATGCATGGAGAGCCACGTAGCCTTTGCGACTCCGAATACTGAATTCCGATTTTACAATCGTCGTTGTGTTAGTGTTTACCTGTTATCTGTGGTGTTTACAATAGTTTTTTAGTAGTTGGTGTCAAAAATGGTTTACGTGTATAGCAACACGAAGTTGATGGATATCGTTTTAATTTATGGTGAAGCAAGAGAACATTTTGTATTATGGTGAAGCATTTGTGTTATGGTGAAGCAAGATAAAATTTGTGTTAGTTCGTAGAAACTGAGTAAGATGGACCCAAATATGTTTACACGTCGGTGGATAAAATTTTGAACAGTTGTAACATTAGGTGTCAATTATTTTATTATTTAAAACCACAAACTAATTTTATTAATTAATAATAACAATACAGCAGGGCCTCGATAATCCGAACACCGAAAATTTATACCCTGTTCGGATTCACGAAGCGTTCGGATTATAGTATGTAGACATTTTGAAAGGGATTTTTCGAAATAAAACAAAAATATTTTACATTATAATATATTTATTTAAGTATGTACGTTAGATGTATGTTAGATACAATGCTATTAATCACATTTTTTAAAGAATTCCACTATAGTGCTTTGACGAGTAGTATTTAGCGACATAGAAAATGCTTTATTCCTTAATTTACGTAACAGCATTTTTTCCAGAATAGAAATGTCGACTTCATCTGCCCATTCCAAACAAAAAACGCACTGCGTATGGCACTGGCGAGACAGAAACTGTGAGAAACGGCGGTTGCGCAGGGGTAAGGGGGGTCGTTCGGATTATAGAGGCGTTCGAACTAGCTGGGGTACGGATTATTAAGGCCCTGCTGTAGTGGCAAAAGCAATTTGCTGATATAAAATAGGTGCTATAAAATTCTATTTCTTTCTTTGTGAAAGTTTTTGTCCGTTTTTATCACACTTTCCGCCATGCCAGCATTGGGCAAGGTCAGGTTTTACAGTGGACCAGTTTCCAGTGCAGAAGTGTATTTTTAAATTATTTTTGAACTGCCCTTTTTGATTTTTTCTTTACAAAATTGTATTTGTAAGAGCCCTGTACATTTAAATTTTTTTTTCTGAATTTCTGAATCACCCTGTATAGATGCATGGAACGGTAAGTATAATTAATTTAATAAATTGTTTCTTACAATTTCTGTATAAACCAATCCAGTCATAATTTTAACAGCTTTTCTGGTGGGCAAATACATTCTTACAAGTTGCATGCCCCGAAACAAGAATAGCATAAGATATTCAATGAATGAATCAGTAATAAGTAATTTTTAAAGTATTTAATGATACTTTGCCTACAAGGTTCTGTAGTATTTACATATATTTGTAGATTTTTTTGCAAATATATTTGTGTATTGATCCCACAGCAATTTAGAATCCAAATATACGCCCAGGAATTTAACAAAATGCCTATTTATGTCTTTCAATTTCTCTTAAGGTAAATACATATAATGGTCTTAGTCTTAGCTATATTTAAAGCGAGTTTATTACTAGTAAACCACTTCTGAACATTTGACTGTAAACTAGGAACATCTTCTAGTAAATATAACAATTTTTTATTTCTTATTGATATGCTATTATCATCAGCAAATAAAATATTTAAGACTACATCATTTATCGAATTCATAAAATCATTCATGTATATTAAAAGAAGTGTTAGTCCTAGTATGGATCCTTGAGGTACTCCATGTTTAACATATTCTAAGCTCTCTATCCCATTTGATTTCAATTTATCAACCAAAATAGATAGATAAATATTTATTTGACCACTGTTTACATACATTCGTACAAATGTGTACTGTAAAACAGTTGGTATTGTTATAAAAAAATACAATGTACAAATCCTATACACAGCGTTAAAACAATTTTAACAAAAATCATACATTCGTACAAATTATACTCTGATATGTAGAACCATTTCTGCTGTCATAACTTAAGTTAAAAACATATAAATCCTATACAGAACCATTAAAACAAGTGGCGGCTCGTAATATTGAGAATGGGTGAAACATATTCATTGATTGACTAAAAAGAAAAAAAAAAGCGCCGCTGGCGAAAATTTTCAAATTTTCAAGGTCAAACGGCTTTAAATGAATCTGGAAATTTTTAGTTGCATTTGCAATATTACCGAAAAACTGACGTTCGCGAGAAGGATTTTCATTTAGATTTTGTAAAAAATAGAAATATTAGTTCGGCTTGTGGACTTTTGCGAACATTAACGCACACCATATATGTTCTAAAGAAGCTTCGTGGTTACGACAGCCTCGCGTGACGTTCCCAAAATTGTTAAATCCCTTCTAATTCCACACGCCCGACTTTACATCCAATTAAACACGGCATACAGAAAAGTTTTTTTAAATAAACACTTCCACAGAACCACTTATACTCCGAATACCATTTATTTCGAATCTTCCGAACATACACTTTGTCTTTTGACTTCCCCCGTTTTTCCACATCCAGAGAAGGCACAGGTCTCTCGCAATTTAAAAAATCCTTTTTGTCCGCAATTTTCCATCTCGAAAATGACGTTTTCAATAAAATACATACTGGATCATACATAGGAAACATTTCTACAATTATTGATAAAAAACAAATATTAAGAAAGAGCCGTTATAATCGTGCACTGGGCGACGCACTCACGTGTTGGTCGCCTCGTTGCCATGATAACCGCCGTAAACAACAACCCTACGAAGAGAAGCGGTATACAGACTGATTTCGATCCGCATCACTTGCTTGATGTTCGCGCTCAACGAAGACAATGTTTTTTTAGAAGGCATTCACCGCACAACTATACAGTTTATTTCCGTGTATAAAACATACAAACAATACATTTTCAATATAGAATTATACTTAAATTATGTATAAAATTTATATAAAATTAACAATAATTTTAAATTGCACAACTAAACGCAAATTTTAGGTGAAGCGGTGCGTCACTGGCGTCACTTGCGTCACCTGGTTTTAATAAAAGTCAACTTAATATCTAAAATACAATAAAAAAAGGGAATACATAATAAGAGAATGGCAGTATAAAAAGTGCACCTCAAGAGAAAATCATACAAGGAATTTATTAGAAGTTAAATAATATTTGGTATTATATATTCCTTTACAGAGTAATAAGCTTTATTTGTAATATAACTTCTTATTTTATTCTTAAATATTATAAATTGCAATGATCTAGTTATTGGGCTTAGTTTATTATACATACAGAGAATATAGCTTTAGAAATTTTCTTTATACCTCAAGAAGGAACCAAAATATAAGTAACTATTTCCAGGGAGACAAATTTCTATTTAAGAATTAAACGAATTTTGTTCAGAATTTCAGTAAAACTAAATGTCTCAGGAATCACCTCAGTAGAACACATAATCCGATAAAACCTTCATCTCTTAACAAAGCTGCCAAAGAAATACTGAAATCCCCTTTGTACTGTCTCCAGTAAGGGTTTTAGACGAGTTCATGAGCAGAACAGCGAGTAGACGTAGTTTTACCAATAATAAAGAATTCGTCACCAATGCACAGGGCGTTGACTTGAAGTTTGGAATATTATTTTATTTTCTATCGTGCGTTTCACGTAAGGACTAGCCATCCTATTAATTTTCTAATCGACTCGTTTTTACAAACTTTTATCAAATACATCTCATGATAGACAATTTTTTATTTCAAATATTAGAGAAGTGCTATTAGGGATATTTTATGGAAAAAATTTTCCAATCTCAATAAAATTTGGTACATATAATGTATGATAGTAGGCCTTATATTCCCTGAAATATGAGCTTTAAAGGTTCAACCAGTGGTGTACAACTGGACAGGGGTCACCCCCTTTTTTACAAAAAAAACCTACGCCACTGCATTTTTTACATGTCGTTGTAACTGATTTATATTTTAATGCACAAAATACGTAAAAAAGGTGACTTTAATTTTTTCCCTAAGATTCGCCGTTCTCATGTTATTCATACCAATACAATCCCCTTGTGGCAGACACATCTAACGATAATATTACAAGAATATTTGTTTATGCAAAGTAAAGTAAGTGCAATTTGAAAGCACATCAACAAAATTATTTACACTCCTTTCTACACCACCTGTGAGGTAGTGTGCGATATCAACAAAAAATCATTTTTTTTTAAAACCTCAATACCCTGTATCCCCAAAACGGGTCCGTTCCAGACCTATGTTTATAAGGCAAACACATATTATTTTAAAGAGAGATCTACCTTCGAAGTTTCCTGCATAAAATTCGGACCACCCTGTATAGTGAGATTCACATAATTATGTCCATGTTACATATTCATATTTGTAAGGAACGAACACTGCTCAAATGTTTTTGGTATAATTCAGTACATATAGGTAATTATACAGGGTGTCCGGTAAGTACCTCCTAATCTCTCGGGAGTGTATAGGGGAGGTTAAAATAAAACTAGTCCTTCCTATAATTTTTTTCCTAATGTGCCCCCTAACGGAGTTATGGGGGGTCAAAGGGGTACCTAGAAATTAACGTTTAGGGTTATAACTTTGAAACCACCCTGTATATTTTAATAAAATTTTCGTACGTTGTATTACACATGGAGCTCTACGATTTGATGCTAAAATCAACTTTTTGCTATTATCAGGTGTCCAGAAACGGACTGG